TGTTGTTCGGCATGTACAATGCATTTTGCTAATTCTTGCCTCACTTTTTCTTGAGAATATTTAAAAGTACCAAAACCCTTGTCCAATTTTGTGTTTGTGTTGTTTCTCTCATTTCTTCTTCTTTCTCATGGGTGAGCAAATGTCTGCCCAATGGCCAGTACCACCCTTGCTAAATAGCTAAAGTCTCTCTTACATTTTTGGCAAACAACTCTTTTTCCCTTCCCTTGAACCTCCTCTATTTTAAATCTTTTCCAAACCAGACTAATCAACTTATTGACATTTTTTATCTTTCCCTTAGGATCAGTACTAGGGGTGGAAGTTCTGTCAATATCAATAGCATCCATATCTGTGCTAACACTATCATCCTACGACTGAATATCGTTGGCATTGAACATGTTGGGGAATTGGTTTCAGGGAGTTAGCCATTTTTTTAATTCAAAAAAAAATTAATTTAATTGCACTTACCTGGATTGCCGATTCGGAATCCCAACTTGATTTCAATGGTTGAAGCTTTTCAACTCTAAGAGTTCAAGCCTCCCTAATTGCTAACTTGAGATACTTAAGCTATTGAGCAAGCCTTCTTCTTGTTGAAATTTCAATAAAGTTGAGAATTGGAGAATCAGGGAATGTATGGGAGATTGAGACTTGAGAGAGTATGAGAACTAGATAAGAGATTAAGAGAATTGTTGAATTGGTGTGATGAGAATGGTCGATGATAGGGCTATTTATAGGAATTGAAAATAATTCAATTGCCCAAAATACCCTAAAAACTAGTCATTTTTTAGTTGCTGGGAAGGGTATTTTGGTCATTATAAAGTTATTTATTACTTTACCCAAAATTTCTCCCAAACTAGCTATTATATAGCTGTTGGGGGCATTTGTGTCATTCTTTCTCCCCCTAAAACCAAAATACATAAATACCCCATATATAGCTGTTGGGGGGTATTTCTATAAAAGAACCCCCCAAAAGGTCCCCAACGGCTAGTTCATCGGACAGGTTGAGCTTGGCCTGCTACAGGCCCGTGGGCTGGGTCGTGCCATGCCGACTTGTGGACCTAAAACCCCAAGCCCAACATGGCCCGAACCATCGTGCCAAACCTGGCACAACCTGCTTACCGTCGTGCTATACCGGGCCATGAGCGGCACGACCCAATTTATACCTCTACTCCTTATATGAAGTTTTGATTAGCTGAACGCTTTAACTGTATATTAGGTTGTGGAACCAATGGCAATGCCCCACACCCAATGAAAAAAATAGATGGGTCCACAATGAGAGATTGAATGATTGTGAGCCCCGACTGGTGAGGAGTGTTAGTATTGGTTCCATAGTATAATGATGAACAACTATTCCTATCTTTTTTTTTGTTTTCATCTGTTCCTATCTTCTTATAAGAAGGGTATGCTAATCATCTCAGAAGTCAGAACTTTCCATGGCAAAGCCTGATTGCTGATACGGTGATACCCAACTAGAGCTTCCACATTGAACAACTTTAGTACGTAGCTTTGATGTTGTTTTGCAAATTATAATGCAGCTTGAATTCCCATATGGGTAAGGTGCAGACGTGCAGTGGGTTAGGTTAGCAGGGATTTTGTGGTGAGGACAGCATAGCGTGAGGCTCAATGGGTATATTATGGAAACTCTACAGTTAAGGGATTGATCCAGCATTTTTAGATGGTGCCAAATGGCTTAGTTGGTAAGGTCTTTGCTGATTGTATGATTTTAGAATGATGCTGCATGGCTGTTTCAACTATGGGTCATGACTCATAAAGTCATAAGCAACTTTGGTAGGTTTTTGATATTTTTAAGTTTTTCTTTTATTCTTATTTGGCTCCTATGGGGCTGGGCGTAAGTGCAAAATACTATACATCTAGGTTCAAAAAATTGATACTATCGATAATGCCGGTAGGGTCATATAGGGCGATATCGATAGTGTTTTTATCCCTTTTTATATATATATATTTTTTTCAAAACCGGTTCAGGGGGGCCGGTTTAAGGCTCCTCCACCTTCTGAATTGGTCAGAACCCCGATACACCCCTTGTATCGGAATGCATCAAAAAGTTACCGGCACAATATGTATCGATACTTTGAACCTTGCTATACATTAGACCTAATTAATTGGTTAAATCCCTAACCAAATTCTACATGCCACCCTTCCATTATCCTAAATCTATGCTTGTCTAGACTCTACACTTAGGGGGTATTCAACAACATGGTTGGTTTTGTTTTTGGTTGTTGAGCACCCCTTAATCTGTGGCAAGTTCTTATGTTAGTTAAACCTTAAGGTTGCGTTGGTTTGATAAAAAATTAGAGAGCAACAGAAAGTTAGGTAAAGTTCTTGAAAAACTTCAAACTTTAACAAAACAATTGTTAAGAAATTTTCCTCAAATTTCTATTTCACTCATTTTCTATCAAACCAATTCTATAAATAACAAAATAAACACAAAATCTATAAATTAAACTTTTTGACTAAGGTAACTTAGAGGAGACGGGCTCAAATAGAAAGAATAAACAAATGGAAAAAAAAAAATAACTCTGAGGTGGAAATAACCAAAACGTGCGCAGGCAAAATCTTCCATTACATCACAAAAATGGTCTGTAACCCGGGAGGAGAAAACTGCGAGCTTACTATCATGTAAACCATGGGAGGTAGATTGGATTATAATCCAAGTGGATAATTAGGTTGAAGATCAGTCATTCGAGGAGTATCCTCAGACTTGGTTTGAATGTAAAATCATCTGGCTCGGGCGGGTTGGGCTGTGTTTATGGTCAATTCAAACTTAACTCTAAGATTTGGGTCTAAGAGTTGAGTCCTTTCTGCATTATAATTTGATGCATTCGGGTTGGTCAATAAATCCACTTTAAAATTACATGTTTATATATGCATTGATGCAAATATGTGTGCACATATATGTAAGTATATATGTACATATGTATCAATTGGAAAATAAATCCGAGAAATGCAAGAAAACATTAAGAAGACTGCGTTTAGCACCTCCGAACATATAAATCTCGAAAATTTATCCAAAATCAACAAAAAGATCACCTTAATCATACAATCGAGTGCAAAATTAAGAACCCTAGAAATTTGCATATATATATATATAGTATGAGCTTGGTATAGTTCCCGTTTATTAAATAAACATTTGTATTTGATTTATTTTCAAAACTAAAAAAAATTATTTCATTATAAATCATTTATTGACACTTAGGCACTACATCAACAAAATAGTGAATAAATGCTTAACTGTTGGGGACTCCAATGAATGTACACATACTTTTACTAATACCTATGAGTACGAATCGACGTGATGAGATAAATGAATTCATAACCCGTGACTTGGTAATCGGATTTAACGGACAACGGTTCAATTGCAGTCTTTTTTATCAAAATCTCAGATTTGAGGAAAAAAACCGGACTCATAATTGTAACTGGGTAATGATTCAACCATCGAGATGACTGACGGTTTGAAGACACTGTTCCTGAGTCGAGATGATATTATTTATATACTCTTCAAATAATATCATATTTTAGAATCCTGATCTGGACTTTTCTTCCCTCTCATTTTCGTCCAATTCATCATTACAAACTTCTCGACAAGCCTGCTAGGCTGCTACTTTTGGTAAGATGCAACTTGTGCCAAATTGCCAATCCAACCTAAAATTATTTACACAGAGCTGGATTTGGATTTTTGTTCATTAGGCTGGGCTTGGGCCTTAACTCAGTGTCTTTCTCTGGGCTGAACTCGGGTCGACCTTATACATACAATAATCCTACCTATATTTACAGGATAAGGTTAAGTTTTGAGGCCATTTTTTATACACTAAGCCCAACAATCAGTCAATTTGAGAACAATCTGAATGTTTCAGTTTTGGGAGAATGATAGTTCAGCACAGGGTCAGAATTTATAGGTTCAAAATACAGTTGGGGTAGGTATTAGTTTGGAATTAGTGTCAAAATGTTGGTTGTAGATCTTTTAAATGTCTATAACTCTGTAGTGGAAATAAAAAATCTGCATTGGGCCTGTCTGTACTTTTTCGTTCAATTTTTAACTCAAGCTGGGCTTAGTCTGGTCAGATGGGACTAGCCAGTAGCCTCGGGGTTTAAGTCTTTTAAGACCGGATTAGCCCTCCCAAGTTGCACCCCTGGGACTGTCAACGGGTTGGGACAGGGTGGAATGGAACGGTTTGGTAAAAATAATCAAGGAACTGGAACCAGCCTAGACCTTATAAGGTCTGTAATTTTAGATTCAAAGCTGAATTGATTGGTTTTCCGAACAATTACGTCTGATTCGGGTTGGCTCGAATTGGTTCAGGACTGGTTAGCCAGTTCTGAACCAATAATAATTGAGACAATAGATTAAAAATCGAAAAGACCCATTAACAATGCGGAAGTAGCCAGTTGGCTTTTCAATCCCAAGTCACCGTTGAATAGTCAGGATTTTACACTAACCATCAATACTTCAAATTGATCTTCACCAATGAACCACCTTGTATTTATGCCATCCACACAGCACCAGGTCATGTGGGTCCCAGGCCGCATGACAAAAATTCGTGTAACTGATGGAAGATAGTTTCATCAGTAAATGCCAAATGAACGGTAGAGATGAGTTCTTGCATGCTATGAGGTATTATCCTTTCTCTCATGTCCCAACTCCAAACTGATAAGAGGCAATGACGTAGACGTAGAGCACAACAAACACAACTACAGTAGACCCGTAGTGGGTAAACTCGGGTATTTCGGCGCGTCACAAAGGGTAGAACCGTCAACTAACATGAGCAATGCTATCTTCACGGATCATGTCCGGCACGGTTCCTCTTAAGCACAAGACAACAAAATCTAAACATGGTTTTTGAGCAAATATCTGGGATCAAGGGTGTTTAAATCATGTTGTTTTGTAAATTAAGTACTCCGTGAGGACCAAGCGCGTGAGACTAAACCATATATCTGCAGGTATTTACGAGGCCACATTTGCATGCCTCAATTTTTAAATTATTTCTGTTTTTTCTTTTTCATTGTATAGTAAAACAGAGGATTTCGGGCACCAGATAAAGAGAGAGAGAGAGAGAGAGAAGAGGACATCGCCATTTCCACTCTCCAAATCTCCACCTAAGTTTCCCATCTCTCCTCCCAAGAAAACCTAATTTTCTTCCTCCGATCTCCGCCAAATCTAGCGTAGCTTTCTCTATTTTTATCGGACGTTTCAGCTTCGAGAATCCAATCGGCTTGACCTGCAAATGTCGAACTTCTGAAACCGCTCGATCGTACAGAAACGGACGTCGAAGCGTGCACGACTCGATTAACTACGATCATCTGCCCGATCCTATTGCTTTTGCAGCTTTTCCGGTACGATCCGCAAGTGCTTTTTCTCGTTATTGTACTGAGGTTTCTTGTTTTTCTTGTTGATGATCGGTGGTGGTAGTGATGACAACGATCGTTTAGTAAAGTTTCGATTTTTGCATTCGTTCGTGATGCGAAAGCGGTTTTATGGTGATCGGTTCCGTCTGACGGGATTCTGAGTTGAAAAGGAAGTCGTTGTTGAGATTCGATTCGGTTGTTTTGAAAAGGTGGAAAGGTAGGATCGAGACGAAGATATTGGAATCGGTTTTGTTCGGACTTGTTAGTGTAACTTGGTCTCTTCTTTCGTGGAATTTCTTTTCTTTCTGTTGACACTCTCTTTTAATCTCGTTTTCCATTGTGTAATCGATAAGTGAAAAAAAAGAATTATCGTTTTCTATGGTATTAATGAATGAGCAAGTTTGAATTGATTGAGTCTTTAATCGATTTATGGGGTTCTATTAGTGAAGTTCGTTCTTCGAGGATAATCATGTTAGAGAAAAAAAGGAAGGATTTTATTCATGCAATACCAGAATGCCCTTCGATAGATACATCTCTTTATGATCTACATTCGATTCTTTTCATTACTTCTTGCTGGAAAAAAGTAGATTTTGAAGTCTTGTACAATAGAAATCCTGTTTTGTGCCATATGGTGGGTCTCTGGTCTCGTTGCTTGTTCAGTAAGCGTATTTCTTCCTTTTCATTATTCTGCAATTGTCAACAGTGAGAACCTTTTGATTTCTTTCTCTCAGTCTTGTTTTATCGGTTCATACATAACGAACCTTATTGTTCAGCATGATAAGTCTCGATTTCTATCGCGTAAGCAATTTTCCATGATTTACCCTTTCTCCAACGCGGTTGGAGATGGTTTGCTTAATGCTTATGTTATCATTTATTCCTGTCAGAGAATGTGATTTCTGTCCCCTATTTTTTGCTTTTATCTTAAATAAGATTCCACTGGGTTTGTAGGAAATCAATGTGGATGTAATTTGCATGGGGAGAGGATGCCAGAGCTGCGAAGTGGAGCTCGACAGGCTCGGTTAAGATCTAAACGGCTTGATGAACTTCAGCCTTCTCCACAACCTCTTGATCAAGCAGAAAATTGTGTTCTTCCTGCTCCCAATAGAACCGGAAGAAGAGTTGGTGCTGGAAGAGGAAGGGGTTGCAATGCCACTGCAGTAGCAAAAGAGCCTTTGGGGGCAACACCATCCAGGCCAGTTGGTGCTGGTAGAGGCAGGGGCGTTAGGCTGATAGATTTAGACCCAGAGCTTCCTCACGAGGTTCTTCCAGAAGTAGCTCCTTCTGTAGGAGCTGGTGAACCAGCTTTCAATCAAGTAGAGGGAGTAGGAGACAAAGATTTTGTGATGGAGGGTGGGAGTGCAGAGAAATTGATGGGAGTCGAGGAAGAAGCAAATGCGGCTCCAGTCCCTGAGAGGGTATACATCTTTTGTCCTTGATTGCTTTTAGTATTCCCTGATCTACTGTAAGGATTCAAGTTGACATGTTGCTTTGTTCATTTTCAGGTATTATGATATTGCTATGGTATCCCTATTTTGGTTTTCCTTTATTATCTGCATAGCTGTTTGCTAGATTCAAATAATATAATCCGTCACTGTTCTCCTTCTATAATGGTTTTAGTTACCATAAATATCTTGGAAGAAGTGGCTTTATTAGTTACCAAAAAATATCTAGGAAGAAGTGGGTCCAAGTGGCTTTATTAGTTACCAAAAATGTCTAGAAAGAAGTGGCCTTTTTAGTTACCAAAAAATGTATAGAAAGAAGTGGCTTTATTAGTTACCAAAAAAATGTCTAGAAAGATGTGGCTTTGTTTAGTAGATCCCATACAGTAATTCTGAATAAATTAGTAAATATATTTATTATGATAAACTAGGAAACTTAAAGCTGTGGATGGTTTGGGAAGGAAGCAGAAACATGGGGTGGAAGAGGTATCCCACTTTCAGCTACTTTTCCGAATTCCACCATTTTGGTTGCATGATAGGGTTGAATGAAATCCCAAAGTTAGCAGTCTTTTAATCTGTTTATTCCTCCGCCTTATTGCAAGATATTTTTGTTTGGGTGAGCTAGTAATTCAAAACTCTGTCATCTTGGGGAGGGAAGGATACTATTTTCACTTTCTGTTCTTCTGGACTCATTCACAGCCCCAGGATGAATTTATTAGCTGACACAATTGTGATTGGCCATGCAATACAATCGTTTAGGATATCTGGATATGTGAAGGCCTCTCACCCGTGTTATGGTAATTCAACACAATATACCATTTATCAAACAAAAAATTATGATTGGGACATAAATAGTAGATATTTATTCTTGTTACAATCGTTTAAGATGGTAGCAATTCACATCGAAAACTACCAATCTGGTGGTTCTTATTTATCAAGAACTTCCAAGAGTTCTGAGAAACTTTTTAGGAAATACTTAGTAAAGGTAACTTCACTTCCTTGGAGAAACATTTTGGTTCTTTAAAAGATCTTCAGGGGTCTTCTCAAACACCTTCTACTCTGATTTGGTTATTGATCGATCACTCATTCAAAATTCACCTCATGGCTCATGTTGGCCCATCTGTACTATCTTGCTACCATGGGTGCAGTTCTGATCTTACTAGCCCAAACTCAACCTGCCCTAGCCTGTAGAAAGGCCTGAAAGTTCAAGGAGTAAGGGAAGGCTTGGTATCCATTTTAGTGCCCAAAATGAATTTGGCCTGCAATTTTGCCTATAATGGGCCCTGACACCCTGGTTTCCTTGAAGGCCCACAGCCCTGCCTGAAGTCAAAATATGTGCTTACACTGGTATTAATTCATGCATTTACTATGAATATAACATGATATTTTCTATTTTAGCCATGTTGAGGAATCTTGTGGTCAATCCAGATCGTTCATAGATAAGGGACCCTCTGGATTGGCCATGTGTTGAATCTTGCAGTCCATGCCGGTCCTTTCTTCTGTTGGACTGGAATTTTGTTTAATTAATAATAGCCTTCTAATTTTTTAATTCAAAAGTTGCCCATAAAAGGGAGCTTATCTAGAGTACGATGCAAGGCCTTTTGGACTGGATTATTTTTTTCCAGAAATCTATGATGAGTAGAAGAATTTGGGGACTCCTTTTAAGCCCCAACTTAAATTGCTAGGTAGAATCCCACTGCGATCATTTAGGAAACTCCACTAGATGACCTGAATAACAAATCTGCTACACCATGCATTTTTGTATATACTTTATCTGTAACTTAATTATTTGGGAAAAGTGCTGAAATTATTTTAAAATATGCTTTCTTAATGAAATTTATTGTTTGGGGCAGCTTGGTTCTGCTTTGACCCATAAAAGCTTAACCAGGCTGGAATTAGGTTGGAGTTGGCCCACCCAAGTTGCAACTCTGATGACGTAGTTGGCTTGTGGAACAACAAATTTTATATTCCTTTACATGGAGATCATCACCCTTGCCCATTGCAGGACAAGGTCTCAATATGAATTTTTGAACTTTGAAGTACTATGATGGGAAGCTGGCCTAATTTAACTTATCAAAGGAGGTTCCAATGAGTCTGATAGACTGCTCTTTGTGTGCTTATAATTAGCCGTATGATCAAGGAGTATCAATTAGGGATTCATTGTGGTTGATCCATTGACCATGGATACATCCATTATGAGATGAGATCTGATTATCTGAGAGGAATATCTTTCTTTGACTGGATCACGCATGAGAGTTAAAAGTTGAGGAAGAACCTTGGTCATAAAAAAGGGAGAATTTTTGGATTTGAATTGTTTTGGTTTATTTAGTGGGCTGTTGGATTATTGGCTACTGTGATTGGCAGATATCTATAAAAAAGGTCTCACTCTCTTGTATATCTAACTCTTTTTTTTTTTTTGTTTGGTTTTCAAATTATGATTGCTTTGTATCGTCACAAAAGAGCAATGCAGTTTTGTTTTTTCCTACCTGAGTATTGAGATTATTCCTGATGGTTTTTCCCATTCTCACCTGACATTAACTTTGTTTGTTGCTCTGGTGATAGAAGTAAAAAAATGATCTACACTTTATAGCTGTTTTGGAAATACCACTGTATTAATATTTCATTCAATTGTACTTTATTTTGCTGCAGCAATGTATTTATAATTTCCACTAATATATTCTGATCATTTTGTTAGCTTATGAGGGATTTCACTCAAAGAAGAAAACTCTATTTTGTAGGTTCAAGTAGGAAACTCCCCTGTATATAAGATAGAAAGGAAGTTGGGTAAGGGTGGTTTTGGTCAAGTCTACGTTGGCAGAAGGGTATCTGGAGGTGCCGAGCGCACAGGGGCAGACGCCCTGGAGGTATTATTCAACAGCTTTTATCCAACTTCGGATGCTTTCTGATGTCATATCTCTGCAAACACCATACCTTATAGTGTGCCTTTATAGGTGGCCTTGAAGTTTGAGCACCGTAATAGTAAAGGTTGCAATTATGGTCCTCCCTATGAATGGCAAGTCTACAAGTAAGCATCTTATCGCTGCTGTCCAAAATGTGTGCAGCATCAGCTGATCTTTTGTTGGACTATGTGAAATTCCAAATCTGATTGATTGTTTTCTGGTAAACAAGCACCTTGAATGGTTGTTATGGAATTCCTTCGGTTCACTACAGAGGACGCCAAGGAGATTATTACATTCTGGTGCGATTTGTTTAATAGCCTCTTTATTGTAATTTCTAGCGACTTCTGAATTAATCCATTGTTTTTTAATGAGAATCGAATAAATGCTTCAGGTCATGGACATGCTAGGGCCCAGCCTTTGGGATGTTTGGAATTCTGTAGGCCAATCGTAAGAAAGAGAACTCCATCTCTCTCCTCCCTTCCCCTTTCCCCTTTCCCCTTTGTAGATATCTATTTGCCTATTTATTCCTAACTATGGGTTTTGTGCCTTTTAATACTTGCAACAGGATGTCACCTAATATGGTGGCTTGTATTGCTGTGGAGGCAATATCAATCCTTGAGAAACTTCACTTGAAAGGGTACTACTTAGTTCTAAGTTCTAGTCTTTTTGGATGATGATTAATCTCTTCTCAGGAAGTTTTTACCCTTTTTATATTTTCTTTTTCTTCATTAGGTTTGTACATGGAGACGTGAAGCCAGAAAACTTTCTACTTGGCCAACCTGGAACTTCTGATGAAAAGAAGTTATTTCTCATTGATCTTGGTTTGGGTATGTTGTCTCTAAAATTTTGGTTTCTTTCTTATGTCCATCTCCTTCATATTGAGTGCTCAATTCTACTAGTGGCAAACAGAGTTAAAGCTGTATAAGCAGTACTTTCTATTTGGGAGTTTTGACATGGGTTTTTCCCTGTATTCAATGATTTTAAGTTTATTTTTTGAGTAAATTCCAATTCCCTGATTAGTTTTGGTAGTGCCATTAATATGTGTGCGATTCAGCATCTAGATGGAAGGATGGATCATCTGGACAACATGTTGACTATGACCAGAGGCCTGACATCTTCAGGTTTGTGGATTTCTGAATTTCAATAGTTATCTTCCATGATTTGTATTTATATTCTAATCTGCTTTGTGTTATTTTGGTAGGGGAACAATAAGATATGCAAGTGTACATGCACATTTAGGTCGGACAGGTAGTAGAAGGGATGATCTTGAGTCACTAGCATATACATTGATATTTCTCATCAAAGGAAGGTTACCATGGCAGGGCTATCAGGTAACTTTATTTAGAACAGAAAATAAAACATTTCTCTCTCTCTCTCTCTCTCCACCCATTTGATAACCTTTTTTCACACATATCAATTATTGCAGGGAGACAACAAAAGTTTTCTTGTTTGTAAGAAAAAGATGGCTACCTCTCCGGAGTTGTTATGTTGTTTTTGCCCGACACCATTTAAACAGTTTCTTGAGGTTGTGACAAATATGAAATTTGATGAAGAACCAAACTACCCTAAACTTATTTCCCTTTTTGATAGCTTGATCGAGCCATGTGCACCCTTGAGACCCATTAGAATTGATGGAGCTCTAAAGGTAATTGTTTGATTCCAGAAGCATTATCTTAATGCCATATTCTCTTCCCCTGCTTTAACATTATCTTAATGTTGTTTTGCATAAGTAGGTTGGACAGAAGCGAGCAAGATTGCCTGTAAATGTGGAAGAAGATGGGCAACCCAGGAAGAAGGTACGTTTAGGGAGTCCAGCTACTCAGTGGATCTCCGTTTACAATGCCCGTAGACCCATGAAGCAGAGGTAAATAAATTCATTTTTTCCACAACATAACAGCTGGCTCTCATCAAGCTACTTTTATGTTTAAGTTTCTAAAGATTTTTTTTTGGTTAATCCCAAATTAAATTTTCAAAAATCATAATTTAGAAGCTGTTCTGTCTTTTCACAGTCAGTGAACCCATCATATGATATCAATTTCTTAATGTACATCGTGCTTACTAGTTCTTTCTTTTGAATGTGTAAAAGAATGGCATATCTTTCCACGCAAGTAGTTGTTGCTCATCAAGTTAAATTATCATTAGATGTTGTGATTGCAATGTTTTTTTCTTGTTAATTTACTATGGGTTTTGTTTATTTCATGGCTTTGATTTACTGGTACCAAATGTAGGGTAGGAAATATTATACAATATGCAGGCCTTTCAGCTTTAAAGAACCAAAACTTTTGCTTCTAGGGATCCTATATACATGGCTAGGTGTTCCATGAAGTATCTCATAATCAATATTCCACTTTACATAAAATTTTCTATATCCAGTTTGTAGAAAATATGACCATTTAGTGTGTCTAATCCCATGGTTACCTAATTTATTCGTATTCACTATGATTTGTGGACCGGTTTGTTTTGTAATGGGTTACAAATCAATTTCTGTAAATTTGGAAAAAAAATCTGAGGTTTAATTAACCATATATTGTAAAAGATTTAAATGCCCATTGCCCCCCAACGTATTCCTAATAAATATGACCTAAACTATGTACACATTTATTTCAAAACAAAGAACTCCTAACAAATAAGACCTAAACTTTGGGAAATACTGTTACATGGTTGAACCACAACAAAAAAGGCTCATGGCACTATTGGAATCAGTTGAAAGAATTAAGAGCTTTAGCAGCAGAGCTGGAAGCAAGCTTTCAGTGGACTTATAGATCAGCAAATGCCATGGCCAGACAAGGGGTAAATAGGGAATAGGGCTTTTACCAAAAATTAAATGGGCCCGGCCTGAAGGCCTGGGCCTGAAGCAGTGTAAAATGTGAACTTGGGCCAACCTGAGTTGCACCCCTAGCGAAGATCTGTTTCAGGGTACCATGTAATGTAAAAAAAGGGGAGGTGGTACTGGACCAACCTTACTGAAAGAGAACACTTCTTGACATAATGTAAGCTGGTAAATAAGCATTAAGTTATTCTTTTACTTTTCTATTCTGACTGTTCAAGTAAAAATTTTCTATTGGTTTATGTAGATATCACTACAATGTAGCAGATTCGAGGCTTTCCCAGCACATAAAGAAAGGCAATGAGGATGGTCTATATATCAGTTGTGTGGCTTCTGCAGTAAACCTTTGGGCACTTATCATGGATGCGGGCACGGGTTTCTGTTCTCAGGTTTATGACCTGTCAGCTGTCTTCCTGCACAAGGTTTGCTCCCAATGGTACTTGCAATTTTTCTTTACGAGTGCTGTATTTACAAACATAGCCACTCGTCACTGGCTTTCACTTGGTTATCATCAGGATTGGATAATGGAACAGTGGGAGAAGAATTACTACATTAGTTCCATAGCTGGTGCAGCAAATGGAAGTTCGTTGGTAGTCATGTCGAAAGGTTTGTTAAGGACACCATTTCAATCTTTATCTTCTCTCTTTCTTGTTTATGGAAATAAACTTGAACAATTACTTTCTCAATTATGGTTTTGATTCATTTTGGAGACTTTTGATACTTTGAAAATTTTCAAGTAGTTTGTTTCTGAAAATGAATCCACTATTAGGAAGAAGTACAACAAAATGGGGCTTAGGACAGTTATCATGACCAGGAAAGGAGATGTGGTCTAGGTCATCTTCAACCCCAATTTTGGGGGTCTTGAGAATTGAGATTAAGGCTCCGTTTGGAAGGAGTACAAATACAAATATGTAGAGTGCAAAACCTTGTCATTATTTTATATGTATTTGCACTGCACATATTTGTATTCAGACTCCTTCCAAACAGAGCATAAGAGACTAGTCCTTTTGACAGATACACCTTCTGTAAATGTTATTTCATTAATGTTGAGTTACATATAACACTCATTAATTTTCTTTTCTTTTAAAATTGTCTCATTATTACTTGGTGCCAAATCTCAAATGTGGTTTCTTGTAAACAGATTACAAAATGAGTCAATGCAACCAAGGTCCAAAATTCTTGATGTTATTAACACTCTACTTGGAAAAAACCATCCTATAATACCTAGGCACCCCTTAGTTTTAATGACAGTCTGCACTATGGGCAGTGCCTACCTAGACCACCATAGTGCTAAAGTCCCTTCTGTGGAGAACAGTTACTTTAGGCAAGGCTTTTATAACATTAGGTTCTAGGAGCGCAAGGGGAAGATGAAAGAAGATGTGGGCTCTAGTAGCAATTAATGATCCAAGGGTTTACCATTTGACAGCAGACATTGTTCTTGATAGAACGCAAGGTGGGACTGTGGGAGAGGATTTGTGTATCCAAATCCAGAATCCTGGATGGTTAAAACAAAGGTTTTGGTGAGTTGAATTGAGAGTATTCAAGTTGCAGAAAAATTGCCAATACTCCACATCTTTATGAAGAAAGCATACTTTTTGCTTCTTGTCTGAAGGTCATATCTGATGCTGATTATGTGATGTCTAACATTCAATCCAAATATCAAGAAGTGAATTTCTGAGTTGTGCTTTAATGGAAGACACAGCCCTAGTTAGGTAGCGTAGTGGTCAGTAGATGGATTTGTGATGCCTTAATTTAGGTACTACGAGTCATTTAGATTGGTGATCTTGAAACCCAAATCAAGATAATGATTTACTGGATTAGAGGTAAGCTCGAATAGGTGATAAAATGAGAGAAAGTAGACTAAGTTGGTTTGGTGAAACAGGATTCATTTAGTGAGTTGATGATGGCCTTAGAAGGGGTAGGGGTAGACAAAAAGGACATGGGTTGAAGCAGTAAGATGCTAAAAAATAAAATTTTAACAATGGATGTGGCATTAAGCACAATGGAATGGTGAAACAGGATTCATTTAGCGAACCCCATATAGTTGGGATAAGGCTTATAGATGATGATGATGATGATTTACTGGGTTTGAGGTCTGGAAAACCATATTTGATAGGTCTATGCTTCTTGCCTTATTCTATTGGGCATTTTTGAGAGCATACTTGGGGAAGAATACTGTTAATAGGTTTTGGGAGCAGTTTAGTTGATTGTCCTTGGGGAGCTTCTTTAAACAACCCATCGTTCTTCAACATGACAGCTTAGTTGGAGCAAAAAAGTGCCCCACATGTGTCTTGCTGGCCTCTGTTCATGGGGCAAATTTCAGCAACATAACAGTTGCCATGTGAACAATAGGCCCTTCTTTTTGGTAAAGTTTTATCTTTTTTATTATATTAAAAATTACTTATTTGAATGACATATTTGTTAGGGGAACCATCAATGCTTGGTAGGGTATGGGGATGATGTGTTGTACTAGATAATGTTTTAAAAGGCACACCTAGGCTCAAAGGTGCAATACATTTTGTTGGGTGCACCTCACCTGTCTTGTTGCCGTGTTTTGATGAAGTAACCTTGATCAAGCGTGCTCTTCTGCACACTATTATTGCATGGATCTAATATACAAGTTCTCATTTAGCTATATGAGGTCAATTCATTCTAATAAACTCCGTAGCTTAATCTTCTCATTCTTCTATCTGATTTTATGGTCAAAATCTTATTTCCATACCTTATGTTATAATGCTGTAGGAACCCCTTACACCCAGCAGTCCTATAAAGTGAGTGAATCTTTTCCGTTTAAGTGGATTAATAAAAAATGGAAAGAAGGTTTTCATGTCACATCGATGACCACTGCCGGAAGTCGCTGGGGTGTGGTAATGTCGAGGAACTCTGGTTATTCAGAACAGGTATGTTCTTATCATTTTTTTGTCTACTTCATCCATTAAATTGACCCACTTGTCTTCATAATAATTCTTTTCTCCACATTTCTCTGTTACCTAATACGTTTTTATTTTTTCTGCTTTGCGACTCATCATAGGTTGTGGAACTTGATTTTCTGTATCCAAGTGAGGGAATACATAGGCGATGGGAGAGTGGCTACAGGATAACCTCAACTGCTGCCACCCATGACCAAGCAGCATTCATACTGAGCATTCCAAAACGTAAACTGATGGATGAAACACAAGAAACTCTTCGTACATCTGCTTTCCCAAGCACCCATGTAAAGGTAGGCACGTACTTGTTTCCTTTTTGATTGTTGGACCTTTATCTGCCTGTCTTTACACTAACAATTAGTTTCTGCAGGAAAAATGGTCCAAGAACCTTTATATTGCATCCATTTGTTATGGTCGGACCGTTAGTTGATGCACATTTCGGTGTATATCAGTATTTTGCCAAAGAAATATCAATTTTTGAAAGTTTAGGGGGCTTGTGCTTGGACATGTTTATGATTCATCAAGTTAGCTTTTCGCCATGTGAGCGTAAGATCCAGACTTCCCATACTGGATTCATATTCATGCAAATGAAAGCAGAAGAGGAGGGAAGAGAGAGAGACCCCCCCCCCCCCCCAAAAAAAAAAAAAAAAAAAAAAAGAGATAAAAGAAAAAAAAAAAAGAAAGAGGAAAAAGCTGTGGCATGTTCTCTGAACCAACCAGAGACAGTAAAGGCAGTTGTTTGTTCAAAAACCTATATATAATATAGTAACTCAGTGGTAGGGACTCGGGAATTTAAATGGTTCCTGTTAATTGCCAAAGTCGTAAGTTATTATATTTAAAGGAAATCTGTAATTAAATCGAGAGTTTGTTGCTAGTCTGGTAAGAAAAATATGCCATAAAATTACTTTGAAAAAAAATTCAGGTTTCACTTTGCTATGCATCATCTGTTGAAAGGGATAATGGTTTATTTTTTTGCTTCAGAGAAATTGCCTAGTAAGGTGTTAGTGTTCTGGTCCTGTCAGGTGGTTCCATTGATTCGAGGATCACACCATATGAGATGGTTTAAAACTTTAATTATCAATCTGTCAGCCTGTTGATATTCGGCTTCTTTAGGTTCTCCTAAAGGTATAAACGATGAAGTCACTCAGCTCCTCTTATAACAAATTCAGTCTCAGGCAAGATCCCGACGGGAGGGGGAGAGCCTATAGACATTGGACTTGTCACACAAGCTTTCTGGTGAACTTCCTCCATTAGCGGATTTCCAGTAACTTAACACTTTTGGACCCGAGCAAGTAGCAACAACGAATTAGTGGATTCTATTCTCGACGGTGGTCAAATGGGCACAGGAAACATGATTCAAATTCCTTCGCCACCAACAGTGGATTAGAATCCAAATTCTGGTGCCGTTTCCAGTACTAGTTTTTCACCGCTGGAATCTTATGTCTTCCAAGGTATAATCCATAGAACGGTGCATATCAGTCTCTTGTTATTTAGTCAGAAAATCTCACATGGTATATAAGTCTGTGTTTGCGTCGAGATAGAGTGGAGTTGAGTTTGAGCTTCGTAATAAGTTAACACCCATAATTTAACAGTGAATATGGCACTCAATAAAATGGAATGGTGAAACAGGATTCGTGTAGCCGACTGCATATAATTGGGGACAAAACTTCTTCATGCATTGCCTCGACTCAACATCTCCAATTTCAGTACCATGATCTACATCAATCTATATTTATCTTACTGCGCATTGGACCTCGTATCAGTGTTTGTCCTTGGATTTTGAAATTATCCTTTTATTATTCAAATACCCAATAATACTTGATTTTGCCATTTGGCAAATGTGTTGGATTGAAAGTAGGCCCAAAATGGCTGATTATGTGGCAAATATATAACGCCTTTTCGGAATGCTATTAAGATACCATGTGGGAAGTATGATGGGCGGCCAATAATTTTATAAATAGCTTGCTACGTGGCAAATGCATGAACCTTGGATTACTCAAATCATTGTGTTCATTGTATGATTGGGGTGAGAATATTCATGCCCTCTAAATTGTGTTCATTGTACCATTGTTTGTTTGTTTGTTCAAAATTCAGATATTAATTCAAAGATGAAAGAATGATTTTAGGAAATTTGGAGGTTTATTGATTTTTATTTGTAACAAATAAAAAAAGATACTTTGAAATTCAGAAATATTTTGGTTGTTCGAAGAAAGTATTTGTGAGCTTCTTGTATGGAGAAAATGCAAATTCGGATCTGCTCCTCACAAAGGGCTCCTCACACTGATCTCACAGCATGTCCTTATCGCATATATGGAACATAGGGGTGATCATGGGCCGGGCCCGGCCTGGATTGGGCTTTGCACTTATGATAAGGGCTATAGCTTAGGCCTGGGCCTGGGGTTCCAGACCCATAACATAAGCCCTAGCCCAGATCTATATGGGCCCGGGCCGGGTCGGGCCTGATTTTGAGCCAATGTCTTTCATATATAAAACATTACATATTTACAATATTTTATATTAAATGATATAACATGCATATAAACTTTTATTTTATATATTATATAATATAAAATGTTACATATAATATGAATTATGCATGCTATGTTATAATATTTATATATAATATATAATATAATGTAAAATAACATGTGTACATATGTTTATATTATACACAAAATGTGTAAGTTTAAATATATGCGGACTGGGCCAGGCCCGGGCCGGGCTTGAAGTATTAAGCCCATGCCCAACCCTAAAATTTGCGGGCCTGATGTGGGCTTGGGTTAGGCCTGAACACAAAACCCAAGCCCAAACTTGGAATTTTCAGGCCAGACTTATGCGGGCCGAGCTGAAATGATCACCCCTACTGGAACATCTCTGGTGTTAGTATTTATTATTCATGGGAGATGTTCTTTGGTTTGTGTTTGGTTGCAGTGCAATTTTATTTGCACTAATACCAATACATGGGAGTACAAATGAAAAAAATGCTAATTATTGTTTAATTTTGTTTTTATTCTACTTCATGTCTTAATTCAAATCATTTGCATTAACATGATTATATTTCATTTGTACTACCATCAAACAAAATAAGTTAAAATTGAAAGTAAAAATAAGTTGGAATTTATACTCAAATCATTTGCACTGCCATAGTTTTGCATCAATACAAAATTTATTTGCATTGCAATCAAAAACAGTCTTGGGAGATTGTAAGTCCGAATCACCTGCAAACAATATCGTTCTAACACCCTACCAATAACATCTGACACCGCGCATCTCATATATATATATATGGCGGGTCGGCCCCGGTATTATAACGAGATGTACGGTGTCAGATCCGTTGGTAGGGCATTGAAACTTTATTTTTGGCAGGGGATCACAACTCTCGGCGTGAAGCCGTTAGGACATGTTCGAATCAATTTCCCGCGCAACTGTAATGATGAGTTCCAACGTCGAACGGTTTAAACCGTTAAACGTGGGAAACTCGCGTAGCGGTTAGCGAGCTATCTGTAAATCTCCTAAAAAACAAGGGCAATTTTGACAAAGTGAAGGTAAACGGAAAACTTCGACGAACAAACGGTTTGGCGCTTCTAGCCTGGTTTTCCGAAACGCAAATCTAAACTACAAATTCTAGGGATTTTTCTCCTCAAATTCATCTGTAATTGTGAACCCCAACAAATGAATGATGGAGTTTTGGTTTTTTTAGAGGTTTCGGAAGCTTTGTTAGGGTTTGGCCTGCAATTGATAACAATTAATAAAGCTTGGTTAATTATCAACAACCTCTTTAAAGTATGCAGAAGAGACATGGAGAATCAACAAATACTCTCTCTTTCTTGTTTCCTTTTTTAATTGCATTCCAAAAATTAAAAAAAAGAGGAAAAAAACATTCTTGTCTTCACTCTTCACTATAAAAGAATCACTCTGAATGCCTCAATCCAGTGGCACAACTCTGAATGGAAAAATTGTTGATGTAAACAAAAAAAAAAAAGAAAATTTACATTCCGAACACTCGTTCACTTGTTAAAAAAGAATGAAAAGAAAACAATATATAAAAATTAACAATCTTTCTTTCCTTCATCTGTATTCTTTTTTGTATGTTGGTGGTGGCGGTGCCACAGAAATGGGTTTCTCAATCTGTTCGCTGCAACAGGAAATGGAACTCGGAGTTCTGACGGAGAAGAGGAGGTGGGTCGACGTCGGATAGGTTTATGTCAAGAAAGGCTCTTGATATCTCTTCCAGAGAGAAAGGTATGCTGCAATTTTCAAAATAAGTAACCGAAATTTAGTGGTGTTATACTTGAAACTCCTGTGAGTTGTTATGTTTTAGTAGGGTTCTATGGTTGATTACCTTGAATCGACATCGAGCAAGAAAGAATTATTTGGCATGCTAATTGAATCTTCTGTCATCAGAGTCCTCATCTTGCCAATAACCTGAGCACACAATTGTGTAAAAATGCATGATTAGGGTTCTATTTTAATTCTTTCATGTGCCTGAGATGTATAAAAGTGGTTTAAGATTCCAAGAACCAGTGAATTAGGAATTCTACTTTATTGGGATCTCCTGTTAGGCATGCTAGAAGAATAACAAAAGGCATTAAATGCATGACCAGGGCTCAACCTTTTGTTGGGTACATTTTCGGACATTGTGAGCATGAAAGTGTGTTGTCAGAACTCAGAAGTAGAAACACATTCTTCTTAATCTTCCTTCTAATGACTCCCAACCATTATGGGGAAAATGGAAAAGAATAGGTGGTAATGCTCTAAGAAATTGATAAGTTTATTTTAACGGATACTTACATCTTGAGATAATCCTTGGGTCCCATATTTGTCATCCCAGAACATTGTTCCAATGCGATATATCTGTGGAATGCTTAAAACCTGGGAAAATTTGCTTAGTTTAATGGATTTTGTTCATAGAAAATTACGTTCAGCTGTACTCCTAGAGAAAATTGAATTTCTATAATATGCTTGATCAGTTACTATAAAGATGCAATTTTGTGCAATTTACCGGGCAAATTTCATTAGTGATCTCATCCAAGGACTTCTGAGGCTTTTGATGTGAAACCTGCACACAGGAAAGAAAAATTTTTAGGGAATTCATATTCTTGCAATCAGGCAGTAAATTGATGAGCAAAAATCAAATTTACATACCAAAAATCCAATTGCCTGCCTCACATGCTGGAGTTCATCCCATGATGGTCCGGCAAACTGCAACACAGAGGACTTCTGTAAGCATCTTTGCTTTTCTTTGTTTTGGGCCTTTTGGCCCCATTTATCATGGAATAAAATGGCTTGGATAGGAGAACTTACCTGGTCTGTTGCTTTGGAGCACCACTGCTCTAGTTCTTGTAAGCCAGCTTTTACATATTCTCCATTGCTAAATGAGCAACATTCACGGCGAAGCAATAAACTGCAGAAGGAATCCATGAGAATAGTGTTGCTTAGATGGTCAAGTTCTAATTGATTATATGGATACCAAATTGCTAAAGAATTTTCTGGTATTCTGTATTTCAGAATTGGTAGAAGTTGCACACCTGTTGAAAAGCTGCACATTTATGAAGGAGAACACCTGACAGAAGGTTTTCCTTATGATCATGGAAGGGACCTGCACATCTCAGACATTGATCATCAAACACTAAGCAATCTTCATTCTGATCCATCTTACTTGGAAAAAGTAGCAGATTGAAGGTTCCTACTTACATAATTATTACACATTATACCCAAGGTACGATCTAGGCACCCAACAATGCTTTGCCAATGTATGCTTGATGCTTGTTGCTTTGCAACCATATTTGAATGGATATTTTTAGATGACCCTCTTACTGATCTAGCCCTCGCAGATCTTGGTGCCTGTTAATACAAGTATCTAGGTGTTGAAAGGTGCAAGGCATGCTTTATTCCTTTTCTTGAATTGCAAACTTCATGCTTGTGTTAACTACTTACCTGTATACACAGATTCAGGAATGGAGTAATCTCTTTCTTCAAACTGTCCCGGATCATCCCATATATTTTCTCAACATATGCAGTTAGATGTTGCTTAAATAGTAGAGCAGGATATTTGGCTTCAACTCTTGATTGGATGTCTGGCTTTCCTACCATTCCACTGTAGCCACTTGAAATCCCCATGCTTGATGGTGATGAGCGAAGGCCCTGACAACATGGTTCAACCATTATAACTTTTTCTCCTCCACATTCTTGTGAAACAGAAGAAATGAAGTTAAAAGAATTTTAATAGAAAGAGATTTTACTTGAGCCATTCTACCAAACAAGGTGGTTGGTGAGGTTCTGCTACGGTGGGAAAGTGTGCTTGATGAATTGCCTGCCTTGAGTGTATTTTGTAGAAGAAACAAAAGGGTAGATGTTGTAGAGAGCCAGTATGCAAGTTCACTTATGTTCTCCTGATTCTGTAATGAATAATGAAGGAAATCAATGTCACATACCAAATCCATTTTGATTAATCTAACAAGAAGATATCCACAAAATGTCATATGTTGGGGTTACTGAATGCCACCACCTCAACAGATGAACGGATTGTGTGAATAATTCGATCAAATATGTTTGTCTTTTCTGCTTCAAAGGACCTCCACTGAAGAAGTGATTTATAGACAATACAAGCAGCAGCGGGCCTGTTCTTGTCAAATCGCTTATCTTCCACTAGACACTTTATAAGTGTGTCATGGTTTTCCTTGTTACAAGAAGAACAATAATAATGGTCAGTCAGTAATTGAGGTCAAACAAGCAATAACTGTTGCCTTCTTCATGTAGTACTGTTAGGTTTTGGATACATACTTGTTGCCTGTCTGTTAGGGATTTTTGTTTACTGAGGGGAATTACAAGAGGTGTTGACTCCTGCCAAAACAGAATACTTGTTAGATTATTAACAAAATTTAAATAACTTTCGTTGCTTATCAGTAGCCTTTTCTGTGACAAAATTTCACCAAATAATGCTGAACATACTTTTGTTGTCTTAACTTCTTCTGTTTGATGTCCATTTTCAAAACTCTGCACCATTAACAAGGTTATGTGAATGAAAAGACTGTAGAAATATTAAGGGAAGTTTTGCCACTAGTGTACCTTGGTAACTTCTGGCTGCATCTGGTCAGTTGTAACCAATTTCTCTACTATGACAGGTGCCTGATTGCGAAGGATTTCATTCTCAGACTCCAACTTTGCAATTTTGCTCTCAAGGCTGTATAGAAGTGAGTCTCTTTCAGAATGCAATAACTTCTGTCTTTTGAAACCAAAGATAACCAAATTGGGAACATTATAGTGCTATGATTCTATAAGTTAATATGTGCAAAAAAAAGATGAACCGATAGAGGATTACACTTAACCAAGTCAACTCAATTAAACCAGCATGTCAATAAAAAGTTATGTTGGAGTTACAGTCAACCTAATTTTGAATTTAGTTAAACTGTTCAGCTTTCTTGTCAACTCCAGTTTCAAAAGTTTTCCTTTCTTCAGCCTTGTTTTCAAGAATGCAGATAAAAACAAGTTTCATATTTTAGATTCTTACATCTTCACTGCTTCAGAGAGCTCATCATTTGTTGATGCAACCAAAGCTTGCTGACGCAAAACCTGGTTCTCAGATTCCAAGTTGGACAAGTTCAATTCTAGTCTGAAGGCAAAGATAAGGAGTCAAAATTCATTTGTGATTGTTAAAATGTCAATTGACTAGAAATTTAGTAGCATTTAGTTTTATTACCTTTCAATAGTCTCTTGCAACTGAGATACTCTTGATTGTGATTCTTCTGCCTCTTTAAGCCTTGATTCACTTTCTCTTTGGACCTCAGAATATCTTCTTTCAAATTCTTCAACCCTCTTCTTTAACTCACTTAACTCATCCTGGTCAGTCATAATTCATACTTGGTCATTATATAATGTAGATATTCTTCCAAAAGTAGAAGATGGGGAGCCTTAAGATTTTACCTCAAGTTCCTCATTGCGGTTTGTCAGGAACTCTAGCTTGGTGTTGTCAACAACAGGTACTTCTATGATGACTGGAGGTGCTTGTTCAATGGCTATTTTTGCTGCTTCTTTCTCCCTGATGATTGCAGCTTGAGCTTCATCCAATTGCTCTTGCATTTCATGCAAAGCAGATTGTAATTTTGCAATCTCTTGACCTTTTGCTTCTTCAAGGTCAACCTACAAGAAGAAAATGAATAATAGAATAAGCACAAGAGGACCATGTTCACTTGCACTTAGTGTCAATGTTTAGGATCTTTATTGTAAAAGACTTTCTTGCATACTTGCACAATCCAACACTGTTAGTAATGACTCAAGGGATTCTGATATTATCTATCCACATCATTCTGAGTTAGGTGATGTTGTAAAATCTGAGGCTGACAAGTGACAAGTGTGAGAATGTGGGTTTGAGTCTTGGGGCAGCCACTTCAATGCAAGAAAATGCTAGATGTTTTGTCTATATCCAGTCCACCCCTCCTAAGACCCTCGACATCTGGGACCAACATTGAGTAATGGCCCTTAATATCATTATGAATTAAAAACTCATTGATTTAGTACTTTCAACAGTGCTATGGACAACTCAAATTGACTAACCAATACTATAAGGTTCTGTTTGACTTGGTTGCCTGGCTGCCGGCTGCCCACCATAACCAAACAATTTGTTGGTGGCAGGTACCAGTTTGAAAAATGTATCAATATAGAAGGAAGAGCTGTTGCATTGTTCTTGATGAATCTTTCAATTCTCATGTTGGGCAAGAAATAGAGAGGGAAGGAGAGAATGGTACCCTCATGTGCTTTTCGAATTCTAGTCGCCATGTCAGCTCTTCAACACGCTTCTCCAGTTTATCCTTCGCTTCTTTAAGTGCTCCTGTTTCTCTAGCAGCCTACATTGGAAATTGCACCAGTCAACCTTTATCTTTTCAAACTGTCTTTCTTTCCACATAGTCATCACAGAAAAACTGGATCTAAAAAATAGCTGAGAAGATTTCTTTAAACAGAATAGAAAGTTTGGCTGTAGAAAGAAGAAAGAGATTACCATTCTTAGCTTTCTAAGTTCCTTCCTTGCTACCCTAGCCCTCCAGAGACACTGAAGTGTAATAGCAGCCTTTTTCTTCTGTTTGTAAGCAGAAAGAGCTTGGAATCTACGGCACCGAGTCTGTAAAAAGGAAGAATTAATAGATTAGGTTTTCATGACTTAGATTGTTTGATCTCTTTCCAATTATTTCTGTTCTTCTATCCAGATTTGAGGTTTCCAAGGATAAAACTATAGAAGTCCAAGGTAGAGGAATCATGTTACTACCTGAACAATGATTGCAGCCTTGGTTCTCTTTCTGTAACTGTATTCCTTGTAAGCTGCCATTGCACGCAAACCAGTTTGAATAACTATTGCCGATGCCCGCAACTCTTTATATGCTTTTCTAGCTGTATGAGCACGTGCATGTTTTTGCACTCGAATTGAGGCATCTTCTCTTCTCATATGTTCATATAACTTGCGTGCAAGCCGCCCTGTATAATGCAAAAGCAAGAAAAGAAGATCAGTTCACTGTCCAGATAATGGATTCCTTAGCTTTATTTTAATTTTTTGTGAGCTGGATCTCTTAGCTTTGTATGAACTCAGCTTTTATGATTTTAATGATTCCTTCTTATTTTTCATGTGTAATATAAAATTGCTTTAGAAATAAGAAACCTCTCCATCGTTTCTGTAAATGAATGGTGGCCTGCCGTAGGGCAATGAACTCCTTCCTAGTGAGGTAAGTGCGGATTTGCCTCTGGATGCGTCTTGCAGCATTAGCTAAGACTTCAATTCGTCTTGCATCTAATTCAGCCATCTGCCCAGCTCTGAGAAACACCTTTGTTTTCCCAATCTGAAATAGCAAATTAATATATGAAAAATTTCAATTAATTAGTTTCCTTTGAAAAGTCATGGATATGGATAATAATTTTTATTAAATTTATTATTATTTTTCTCTTGAGTTTCCTCTCTTGGACATACCTGGTAGCCCTTCAAACCCATTCTGTCACAGATGGCTATACAGGCTGATTTTTCATCAGAGCTGCCATGGAATAAAGAACTTAATCTGTTATGACTTTTTATTGAAGATGAGATTACTGATGCAAATAGTTGCTCATTTTACATTGAGTAGGTAGGTCAAGTTGCATTATTGTACCAATTAAGAGGCTATATCTTTTGGATCCTATCTTACAAACCAAATCTTAAAGTTTATTTTACTATTCTTATCCTTTTTGGAGGTGGGGGGGGGGGGGAGCCAGAAACTTGTACCCATCTAGAACATCCGGAGCAAGCATTCCAAAACGATCAAGGAATTCATCAAATGTTCTCTTTGTGGGATACCCAGCACAACTTATTCTAATTGCCTCTAGGACACCCTGCCACAGTGCCCACCAGAAAAAAATATTAGTTATAAAATTAGAGAGAGAGAGAGAACAAAGTGAAAATCATTGAATTGGATTATAGTAGTGGATGGAACTCACCCCACATCTTAACTGGTTTAATACGTTGAAACTTTCGAAGATTCCAGGCTTTAAAACAGTGTTTGGCTTTACACATCTGATGTAGTGCGGCTCCGTTGTGCTTAAAGTTTCCATTAAAGATTGCAATTGTTGCTGGTGTGATTTTGAGAATAGTACTAGTGAGTCAGAATCAAGATGTTTAAGTATTGACTTTTAAGTTTCTACTTTGTGAAGTCCCAGCTTACCTTGAAACGGGTGCCGATTGATGAAAACTTGGATTGCTTTGACGTTTCCTCAGGCAATGGAGGGAAGAGATTTGCAACAAAAGAGCACTTGGAGGCATTCAATAGAGCTTGATGTTCTGCTACAACATAATCCTTATTTTTGTCTAGGAATTGATCTGCTTGGTAGGTAACCTGTTGAATGTAAACTCTTAGAACAAGTAACCGACTAATTATTATAAAGATAAATAATTTGAAGGTTTAGTCACAATTTCAGAATTTGCTTACATCACCAGCATAATGGTTGATGGTGAAGTCTGTCCGAGCAAGCTTTGGTTTGCTGAAGCGCTTATGTCCTTTATATGTCTGATACATCTTTTGTGCAAATGTCTCATGGGTGGACTTGGGAAACATACTGCACCAAAGATTAAACCAATGTAATAGTCAATAAGAGTTTATAATGCCTTTATAGCCTTGACTACTTTATAATCCAGAGAGAGGGAGGGAGGGAGGGAGATACTTCATGGATTGCTAGGTGGCAACAAGATATATTGAGTAAGATACTTCATGGAGTGAAACATAAAATCAAGTATTGAATTACATACTGCACTAGAATTTAAGCAAATCTAATAGTCAACAAGAATTAAATTGTCTTTGTGGCTTACACTTTTAATTCAAAGCAGGAGAAAGGAGATAGTGAAGAGAGATAGATAGGGTTGCTGGGTGCAGCAAGAAGGGGTATTGAAGTAGATACATAATGGAATGAAACACCAAGTCATCAACTACTAAATTGGAATGTTTACCTAATTGTAAAATTTGAATTAAAACATTCGCTAAAATTGAAGTAGATTTTTGTCCCATTGTCGTTATCTTTTGAAAACATGTGGAAATGTTAATATCATCAAAAGTTAGAGGTGTGTACCATGCTTCATCAAGAAGAGCGATTATCCCTCCTGGTTTCTGCATACATGCATAAATTATCAGTATGTTTTGTTCCCTTTTTCCTAATCTAGATATGTAGCAATATCACCACAATGATACAAAATTGACTTGGATCAGATACCTTCTCTATAAGATCCAGCACATCTTGGTTATCTACGAACTCTACGTAACTCCAGTTGATCTCTTCCCTTGTGTACTCTTCTTGCTCCATTTTAAATACGTGCTGTGAGACACATAGGTTCATCAGTTCTCAATAACTGCATAATACCTTTTATTTGGATATGCGTACCAGTCTTGAGATTTTTTCTATGCTTACTTGATTAAAATGTTGTTGCAACTTTTCATTTGTGAGGTTGATGCAGAGCTGCTCAAAACTGCCACACCATGCACAGTATGAAACTTCATGCATATTATGAAATCCGACTGATACTTGGGTGAAAGCTTAAAATGCCAATCTTTTGAGAAGCCTCAAGAAACAGTATGTTTTACCTGTTAACTTTGAAGCTCTCAAATCCATAGATGTCAAGAACTCCAATTATGTTCTCTGCACTAGGATCCTGACCAATAGAACTGTTGATTTTATCCACAATCCTGCAAGGGATCATAAAAATGAGCATCATGCTGTATTTGTTGCATTCATTCTTTTACCAAGTCAACTCTACTATAATAGATTAGGGTTAGTAAAAGGAAATCATGAACACCAAATTGTTCTAACTTCAAAACATATCTTTTTTTTTTAATCAGCAACTTAAAGAGGTTTATTAGAACTTAAAAAGAGAATAGTACAACAAGAAGTTGTTAGAGATAACACCCAATACAGCAGAAAGCCCCACTACCCAACTAACATTGAGACCAAAACAAATATGTTTATTAACTTCACCCCTTGTTTAGCTAAGCCATCTGCCAAACCATTAGCAGACCTCCTCACCCATCTTAACTGGATTTGCATATGTCTTGACAGCAGCTTGAACTGCCTGAGATCATCTCTGAATTTCCATAGTACCCCTTCTCTTTTTTTCAGCAAGCCAATGACTATTTTAGAATCTCCTTCTACTATTAATCTTGTAATCCCCATTTCCTTGGTTTTTTGCACCCCAACAATAGCCACCAAGAGCTCAGCTCTCACAGAATGACCCTGTCCAATAGGCCCGAAAACAAGACAAATGATCCCACTCCCATTCCTAATTACTTCTCCAATTCCAGAGGGACCCAGATTACCAAAACTACTTCTATTGAAGTTAAGTTTCATCCAGCCTTCACTTGGGGGAGACCAAAACTACAGAATAAAAAACCTACAAAAAATATCTATAGAAGGTCTAATAGTGGCATTATGACTAATGATCAGCATTACTGATTCCCTCTAACAAAAATTAGAAAGAAGAAGAAATTAGAGAACTTGACTCAGTTTGGAAACAGGAAGTTGTTTTAGTTGATTCATAGATAAAATCATTGAAGAACTCAAAGTGGGAAAAATTTAGAACCTCAATTAGAACATTATTTCCTGATAAGATCAGAAGAAACTTGGAGCATAGAAAACGAAATTCTAATAGATGAACAAAAAAGAAAAGTAGATAGCATAAAAATCCCTTGAATTTGTTATAAAAGTTAATTACTAAAATAAGACACTAGTGTTGAACTCATTGAAGTGAATTGATTCAAAAATTGACCAAAAAATTATATTGAACCTAGTTGAATCAAGCAATTTTCATGAGCGAACATGCTTCTGAGCACACCTAAACTTTTGGTCCAGTCTAGCCTTTTGTGACATGTTGATCCAGCAAAGTATTATTGACAAAATTAGCATGTTTGTGCATGCTCAATTTCGCATATGTATTGGTTCCCATGAACTGCTATCCTGGAGGATGATATATAACTTGCAAAAATTAATTTAGTATTGGTTCCCATGAACGTAATTACCAGTCAAATAGCCTAGAGTACACAGTCTTTGCGAGGGCATCGCGATTTAATACAGCTGAAGCCGGATCAAGAGGTTTCGTAATGTTACCATCAGGTGTAACTATGACACGCTGGCAAAGTGAATCTTCTAGGGCTTTCTCATCACACCTGGTTAGAAACATTAAGTTCTATATGAGGAACAGATTAGGGGGGGAAGCACGCATTAGTGAACTGGAAAGCAAGATTTCATTTAGGTGGCTGAAGGAGTTCACATGAGCAGCTCAGCAGCAGTCTGAAGATGGAAGAGTGATTTCTCATCCTTCAATTTGGAAGAATCTACTTCCTTTCCTTTGATGAACTCAATGTTCCCAAGATGAAGGATTGCAGCTACTACCTGGAATATTGCTTCCTGCACAAGGAAAACTGTGTTAATTCAAATAGGTTTTGATCTTTTCCTTTTTTTTCCTTTTCCAATACAGCACCTGTTCTTCCTGGCTGATCCCGACAATATCCATGGCATTTCTGGTTTCTAGATATTCCCTGGCATCATTCACATTTTCTACTTCATAACAGTTTGTTTGATTTAGATAGTGGAATGCCCTTGGATCCCCCAGCTTGAATTTCTTTACATCCTGTGAGGAACTATGACTGTTAGCTGGTCAATTGGCTCAAATCAGGTAATAGCATTGTCATGTTTATTGTGTGACTACGTTATACATTATTCAGCAGGTAGAAGGATTAATTCAGGACAAGGAATACCTCTGGTGGTGCTGCACAAAGCATGTAAAAGCAATGATAGTTCCTCTCAGGATCAGAGACCTGGCAAACACGTGACCGTTCAAGAAGATATGTACGGACAGCAGCTCCAGAGATCTTTCCATATTTATTAAATTGGATCTCAACAAATTTACCAAAACGACTGATACATATAATCCCTTTGTCATGAAGATTTCTTGAAAATTGAAATATAAAGTGGAAGAGCATCTGAATTTCTTACCTGGAGTTGTTGTTCTTCACAGTTTTGGCATTGCCAAATGCTTCCAAGACAGGATTGGACTGTAATACATTGTTCAAAGATAACTCAATCTATATTTCTTCATGTAATTCTCATGGTATAAATTAAGCACACTAATGCTCACCTCCAAAACTTGTTGTTCAACTGTCCTCCCCTCAGTACCTGATCTGCCCCCCATGAAAGCAAGATATCTCATAAGCATCTTTGTTGTCTCTGTTTTACCAGCCCCACTCTCTCCGCTTACTAGGATGGATTGACTTCCTTGGTCGTTGATCATTGCCCTGATATATGGAATAAATATACCATGTATTAGATCATTCAAACTACAAATATTAGTCCAGTCCCACCCACAAATGAACTTAAGCTTAAAAAGCCTTAATTCAAACTAATTGGGATTGGCCTGGTATGATCTTGCCCAAATATCTGCAAATCTACCTGTAACAAGCATCTGCAACAGCAAAAAGATGGGGACTGAGCTCTCCAAAAGCAGCTCCCTTGTACTGTTCCATCATATGGACGTCATACAAATGTGGTATCCTTCGAAAAGGGTTCACTGCTATTAGGATGTTCCCTGTGTAAGTCTATTAGTTGCACTCACTGTTAGTTTTCTAAATTTCTGTCTATGGCATATACTGATTAGTTTTTAATACTAAAGTAAGAATTGGTAGACTTACATATATCTCATTGAGAGCAAACCGAGAAGCAAGATTCTGTAGGACTCCTGGCTCATGGAGATAGGCTAGTTTGGTCATGTCATCAACACCAGCTGGTGGTGCTTCCATGTCTTTTGGGTAAATACTGGAGAGATTGGCCACAATCTGAAATTGGTAAAAGTTCAGATTTAGTGTATACAAGATATATGTGATAATGGAGGATCCAAAGTTCTGGAGGTTATCATTTCTGAGACATCTTTCCCAAGGATACAATGGATATGCAAAGTAACTTCACTATTTGATTAATTGTTATTTGCACATTAACCATTAGTTCATTAGTTAAATATTTCTATTCTTCTGTTCTTATAATTTCTGTCTCTGGTCAGATATCTAACAACTATAGACTTTTGTCATTAATGGAAACATAATTTGCATATAACTGACATTTGATCATCGTTGGTTTAGCATGGTAGAATTCCCTTTTGACAGCTTGTATTGCTCTATACTATTCCAGATTCAAATTGCTCATCCTGGGCTTACATACAAACAGACACATCTGTCTGTGTGAGTGTGTGTTTCTGTGTTTTTTCTATGAAAGGTCTATTGCAGATTGCTTATACATTCATATTCAGTGGGAGCAATAGAGATTAACTGATGAGCAGTTCAGCTTACTGTTTTTCCATTTGTAGTAACTATGGTAGCATTATTCCCTTTGATCTCTGTTACTTCTCCATCAATCCATGCAATATCTGGATCTTCTGCCCACACATGTGATCCAACTACGATGTTTACCGGAGTTCCCTGGAATAAATCGAATATCAAGGGGAACAGAAAAAGAAATAGAAACCTATTATAACCATTTAATTCAAAATTCAGACAGAGAAGTTGATGAATCAAAATTGAGTAATAAGAATTCAGAAAGTAGGATCCTTCTATGGTCAGTAGGAATCTTACCATAATTGAAATTCTATGATCTATATTATGATCATTGGATTCAGAATTCAGACAAGACAGAGGACTGTAAATGGAGAATAGGTGTTGGGATGAGACGAGATGTGTTTTGAAGGAATGAAGGGAAGTGAATTGTAGAGAAGGAAAACAAAAAAGAATGCTAAAGAGGGATGTTCAGAAGAATGGGAAAGGAGAAGTAATGCAGGTGGTGGTAACTCAAAAGCAAAAGACAGAGCAGCCACCCCCCTCTCCCCCACAACCTCTCCCTCCCCTCCCCGCCAACTTTTTGTTAATTCCACATAGGATGATGACTTGGCATTCCCCCAAAAAAAGTAAAAAAAGAATAAAAAAACCCAAGAAAACTGACCATTTTTCCTTGGTTGTGCAATAGTTTCTTTAAATCATGGGGAGGATCTGTGTGTGGTCTGGTCGTACATAGAGTAGTAGTCCTGTGTTTGTATACTTGTTTCATCCATCTGATCAATGGGTCGCCCATGGCTCCCTAACGGTGTGATGCTTCGAGGAGTGTGTGTGTGTGTGTGTGTCAGTTTGTATGGTCTCAATCATGGTTTTGCAACTGGACATAGTTAAAGCAGCAAATGGGGAAGTTTAAAAAATGAAAAAGTTGCTTCTTTTTCTAGTTGTTTAGCTTCAACACTTGTGCTCTTATTTGTGGTCTTTTGTTTCTTTTCCTAAGACAATGGCCGATGCTCAATTATAGCCTTGTTTCATCTGAATTTACTAAAACACCCTCTGTAGGACTGCAACACCCATCTCAGGCATCCCACTTTTGTTTCTTTCTTGCAAGGGTGTTTCAGCCAGTTGGGATAAAAAAAGGGTATCACTGGCTACAAGCATGGAAAATGACTGGAAACCTTTCAACTGATAAATTGCTTAGGTTCTAATCAAGGGCCAAAATTCCCCATTGAACACTCCTTACATATACATGAACCTCCCAGATGCCAGATTGATCCGTGAGGCCATTTTGGTAATCCCCAATAAAATAATAAAAAAAAAAAAGGGGCTGGGCCTGGGATGAGTCGATGACAACAGCGGACGCATCTCGTGGATGGTGATATCTGGGGGCCCACAAGGACACCAGGGCACCATCACTCCGTAGTGGGGGCCCACATAGTGCTGCTTTTTAGCTGTTCTTTGAATTGAATCTTTTTGGGCGGTGGAGGAGTTGGTTGGCACACGCAGACGCAGACAATCTTTCTTCCTTCTTCTGGGCCTGGAGATCCCGACGGCCGCCGGCCTTGTTCCGGCCACTCACCATCGCATGCCAAAAGTCTCTGGTATGGTGGGTCCTACAATTTAAAAAGCCTTCTTTACAAGGCTGAAGGCCTGCCGACCAAGCTTTTACTATTACTATTAGGGATTAATAGATATTAAACCAATCTTCAAATTTTGTTTAATAAAGGCCGGCTGGTAGGTAGTAGTAGTACTACTTCTACTTGATTAATAATTAATAATAGCTCTCATGGGAGTGGGACCATCTCCCTTCTCCTTCTTAATGCCAAAGTTTAAGTTTTCTGATTCTAAGAGGATTCATTTATTCATTATTTTGCCATCTTATAGTTTGATTATATACATATGTTTGATCTTTTTCATCCTAATTTTGGCATCTATTTCCATGATCCCTTGCTCACAACAACTCTTTTTTATTGATTTTTCTGTTTGGGTAAAATGGGTCACAGCAACTTTGTGCTTGGTCTAACCTAATTTGGTTAGTATCATTGTGTAACCCTGGTGGCAACGGGATTTGATCTTAGGTTTTCGCTACAATGAAATCGAGATCTGCTACCAGTTAGGTCACCAGTTGGTTGATATATCCAGTTTGGGATAGGGATCTATTATCAATAAAACGTCACCAACCCTGTCCCAACAGGCTGCAGTGGCTGGTTTGGATGTTGTTGGCAGTGGCATCGTGTGTTGGTAGCTGATCCGCTTTGATCTCTGTGTTTGTTTATTTAAATAAGTATTGTACCATTTAATAGTATTATGTAATTAATATAATACTTAGGCAAAAAGGACTCCGGATCTCCTATCCACAAAACACCACCTCCGTTCATGGAAGACATCTCCCCATTAGACCTGTTCATGGGTCGGGTGGCCTGGGGGGTCGGCCCGGCCCCCGGATAGGCTTGAACATGCAAATGAGCCCGTGGGCTTGACCTCAGGCCAAAAAGCCTGGCCCACAATAAATTCGAGTTGGGTTCGGGATTTGCCAAAATAGCCCGGTCCGACCTATAGACTAAACCCCAAAACTCTAATATCCTAACCCTTCTCATTCATCTCTTTCCACATTTCCTGTTAACCAAATTGCCCAATGCCGAACCTCTCTTCTCTTCACATCCTCCTCACACTCTCAAGCAGCCGTAGAACCGGCAAACATTCATCGGCGCAACAACTTCGGAAGATCGGCGGTGAGTCTTCTCTCTCTCTCTCTCTCTCTCTCTCTCTCTTGTTCCTCTTTTCACTTCTTCTCTTTCAAATCTCAGACACCGGCGATGCGGCGAACACAGGCACCGGCAGCGGCAAGTCCTCTCTCTCTCTCTCTCTCTCTCTCTCTCTCAGATGCAAAGTGACTCCTCTTTTCACTATCAAAATTGCATCTCACCGCAAACTGAGCACCGGCTGGTGAATCCTCTCTCTCTCTCTCTCTCTCTCTCTTTCTCTCACACACACAGACACGAACTCAACACTGACGAACACAATCATTGGCAGTGAGTTCTTTATTCTGTTAGGTCGGGCTTTGGGCTCAGGCCCGAGCTTCAGTCTTTTTATTAGGGTCGGGCTCAGGCCCATGTTATAGGCCCGTTGGTTGGGCCAGGTTCAAGCTCAGGCCTAATAAAATCATGTTTATGAAGAGTAAAAACTCGGCCCATGAACAGATCTACTCCCCATGCATAATAAGATGAAAGAACATAAAATGTTCTCCATGTGTGTGGCTGCTATTTCATGTGGGTAAGTGTGAGTAAAAACTCTTAGATTTTGTTATTTTTATGCTTCACCTTTTTTGGTATATATCCAATAGATATTAATAAAATGTTCCTTTATTACCAAATCATAAAGGGAGAAAACATCAATCAATAAATAAAGTAGGTTTATGAGGCCCTTCACTTGCATGTGGAGGGCTTCACTAGTTATACCAAATTCCCGCAAATCCTTATTTAATGGAAATCAAATTTAACCACCAAGAAGAATTGTGTAATGGGACCTACACATATTCTCTCTCTCTCTTAATCAATGGTTGTAGATCGTTCATCTGATGATGAGGACTACAACACATGATGACTACCCCCTTTACTAGACATGAAATGTTAATTCATCCATGCTGGTTTTTCAAAACCTCTTTGACCTATCTTTTCTTCACAGGAAACCATCCATAACCTTACCTCCCTTGACTTTTATTGGCAGTGTCTGAAGTCCCCCCAACTTTTAAATACCTTATGTCAAAAGGCTTTAATAATCTTGCACTTCTTTCCAAGTCTCCATCTGTTCATGACAGGAGTAGGGCACTCGACCTAGAAATAGTTTCTAAATGATAAGAATGACCCTAATACATTTGAATTTGAGATCATCTTATTTAATTTTAATGTGACAGAATACCCTTAACACATGTTAATCAATCTATTAGCTCTCTATTTCTCATCCCCACTTCAATTAAAAGTGCATTGATGATCGATCTGGCTATTCGTTGTCATGCCAAATTCTAAATATTGAATTGGGTTGTCCAATGTCTATGTAGTTTCCAAAGCTCTAAATGTTGATCAACACCATGAATTTAATACACCAAAGCCTAACTTTAATCTGCCCCCATGTTCATACATTATAAGTTCAAGTGGGCCCCTCGCCTACAAGATGGTGACATTTTGGTCATTTATGAAACCATTACCATTTAGGGGTATTTTGGGTAATATAAAGATATGCATTATTCTTTTTTTGATATTATATACTACACATTACAAGGAAATCTGAGGGTGGGGCAGAGCAGGGTGCATGTAATGCCCACTGGCCAAACCATAGAAAGTTTACAGTTTCATGGGGTTTGATCCCGTAGTTCTAAATTGGAGGGGATACCAACTGACCATCTCGATTATTGGGTCATCGATATATACTAAAAATATGAGTTTTCAGTATAAAAATGAATTTTTGAAATATATTAAAAATCTCAAAAATAACCAATCACGTTAAAGATGATACATAGTCATATTTTATTTGGAGGAATAATTTTGTATTTGTTTTGGTCGGATGGTCCATGAAGGCACCCATGTCATGGTTCTCTGTAGCATTTGTCAGTTAAAACAGACTGATAATATGGAATGACATTCTGAGCCGATCCACCGACACACCCTTTGTTTGGGGTGTTTTGGCAGGTGAAGACAGCATCGGATCCTGTCAAAAAGGTGAGTGAATAACCCCAATGCCGGTCCTCTGCCTCCCCATCTGGGGCCTCGGAAGGAGTGGATTCATCATTCATGGATTTGATTTTTGAATTACAGACAACTTCGTTCCGGCATCTCTCTCTCTCTTATGTGTATGTTACTTCCACTTTCTTTGAGTGATTTCCTCTCCAATGAATCCGCACCAAGAACATTTGACACAATTGCAAGTAATGATGAATGACCCATTTAGCACTTCGAAGTAATTGGAGAGTCAGCATTAATATTTGTTAAGAACCAAATGGTTCTCATCTTCAGAAACACCATGTTTTCAAAGGCCAAACTCGCATTTAAGGGGAAGTATTCTCCTAGACAGTAATATACTAGTGAAGCTATCTTAGGCCAAGTTTGGTTCATTCTGTGGGCCTCAGTTTTTGAATCCTTGCTCATTCTGCAAATATAAAGTTTGGTTTTCAAAATCGGACTGCGCATCAAATGGTTGGGTCAGTTCCATTTTACCCCACACCGCTTTTTAGTCAAAATCTATTGATTTGGTTAACGAACCATTAATCCAGGTGGTCAAACCGTCGATCCAGATAATAATTTTGACTGTTTTTTAATTTTTTTTCTGTCAGAGTGGGCCATTCATTCGGACCGGACAGTCGAACCGTTTGACCCAAGAACCAGACCCAGAACAGTTTTCCCTGTCCAATCCAACCTTGATATAAAGTATTTGGATACAATATTTTCTCAAATTTCACAAAAAGATAAATCTGCTTCTTATGATCCACCAACCCCAATAAAAGATTTTCATCTAAAACAATTCCTACTTGAATTGAATCCCTGATCAAACGCTTCAAATGCAAATCTGGTATGTTTGTTTCCTTCATCTGAGAAACATCATTTGGGATATTATCATATTAACATTCAACCACCTATGAGAATCTAACTTATCCTCTAAATGTCGCATCTCATATGGCCAAATTAGTACTCTCTGAATTTCCTCATTCCTCCCTCCATTGAGGAATTAGTGGCCCACTAATAACAATTGGATGACTTGCCCCATCATTCTCGATTGACATCTTTCAAAGTTTGCAATTGGTTGGTAACAGAATAACAACTCTGTTCTTAATTAAGCTTTGAAGTTTGTGGATCTTTGTTTGCTTTTTGAGGTCTTAATGGAAACATTCAAGAATGTGAGGAATAATGAAAGAGGTCCGGGTCTGTAACCCGACCCATTAAAGTTTAAACAGGAAAAGTTATTAGAAAAACAAAGAGGCCCGGCCTGTTAGCATTCCATTTTCTACAAGGGTACATTTGGATCATCAGATCATGGAAATTGAAAGTGAATTGGAATTCTAATGTTGAGCTTGGATATGTTCAATTCATCTGAATTCGAATACACATTGAATTTCAGTTCATCCATTTTACTGGAATTACAACTTTTCCACCCAATGGGTACTTCTGCAATTCCAATGTTCTCATAAGAATTGGGTAATGCACCAACCAAACAGTGAGAAAGATTCCAATCTCTTAAAAGGTCGACTTATGATATCATGTAATTTCATAAGTATAATAGTAATTAAAAGCAATAAAATTGTATAGATATAAGATAAACCCACATTTTATTATTTTATATATCTTTAAATTATATACTGGTTTAATCTATAGCATCATATCACTTACAAATACATAATTATGAGAAAAATTGGCAAATATCCTTTCTTTTATCTTTTAACAATTTAAAAAAGAAAACACAAAATAGTTAAACATTTGATGGGAGTTTATTTGGATTTTTGGCAATGGTAATAATAATAATAAGCAATGTTAAAAATAAGAAACTTGATAGATAAACTTATCCATGATTTCTCATGGATAAATGCCACATGGGAAGGTCTTGAGGTGCGATGCAGCATTAAAACCTGCATCAGATTCTCTTAGAAGCATGGTTTATGGTGCACTATTAAGAAACTTAATGGAGAACTTTGCACATTGTTTCATGAAGACCACTCCTGCAATTTGACTCCAACTTGAATCCTTCTGCTCTTTTTTTCCTAATCCACTGAAAAACAAAAATTTAAGATAAATCTTATTGTGTTTTGGCGAGTGCAGTATGCTCAGGTGCAGTTAGGAATGGACTCAAAAGCTTCAACCAGAATTTAATCTGCTACTTTCACAGGACAGAAGGCAGCCTAACAGGTAATAGACAAACAATTGTTCATTGATTTTGATTTGAGTTGGTGTGAAATTACACAAGTTTTTCAGTCAGTCAGGAGTCAATTACAGAGATTTAAAACAAAAAAAAATGATATTTTCCTTATAAAGGCATTTTCCCCAGAACTTCAAGATTCCTAATGCAGATAATGGCAAACCAGTTAGAAAGAGAGAACTCATGAAATCATATGACCTCAGTGCAGAACTATAAATCCAATCCTTGTAGATGAAAGAAACCAAGTTGAGATCAAAAAATAGACAGAAGACCAGGAAAAACAACCATTTGGGCTAGTAGGTCCCAATTCCCTGTTGATGCTGTAGCTGGTGCAGGACATAAAAACAAGGGGAGATGGGAGGACAGGGTTCACTGAATAACACAAACACAGCCTTGACTAGCTTCACCTTCGTCATCTGAATTTCCTGATTCACTGTGCAAAAATAGAGGGAACAATAAAAAGAAATCAGATGCTAGTACTTGCCAGCATGATAATGATAAATTGATTGAATTGCTAATTTTGGTGGAAGAACAGGCGGTGCCCATAATAATAAATTCCTTATATGGTCTAACTACAGAAAAAAAAAACTTTATTAATAATCCATATACGAGCTGACCAATTTAAAAATACACATTCAATATATGTATGAAGATCAAAATTTCATCCTTCAACTGGTCATAATAGTTTTTTTTTTATAAATATATAATACTAATACTGTATTTTTCACAATAGGCAACAAGGAACCACTTGATAGAACAATAAGGAGCAGAATCTTTTTTTCCTCTTTCCTTTCAATCAATTATGAAAACATATATATGTGCTAGTATTTAACTAAAATATCAATATCATGAATTGCATTTGCTTAGAATTCCAAACTTAAAAAAAATGAAAGGAAAGAAATAGAAATAGAAAATAACAATCTCCTTTATCAATCAATGAAAAAAAAATCAATAACCAGCCATAGATCTCATTTAGGATCCATAACAACATATTCTTTTGTCACTTGATTGCACAAATGAACATCAAATAATTTACTTTGGAAAAGGGCGACAAAAACACAACAGAAGAGTTGAATGGCAGGAGAAGAAATCCATAACAGAAAACAAGATACAAAATGGAAAAAACACAGCTACATGAGGGCAGAATGGTTTGACAGGGATAACAGAAACCAGAAACACATTATAGTGTCTGCAAAATATCCACCCCTCCCAAGGCCCCAGATAACAGGGAGCAACATTGGGTAATGAATGACCTTTTTATAAGTATGTGGTTAGGTGGTTGCCTGTTGACAGAAAAAGACAATGACCAGCATTAGTTAGCAGAATTTCTTATTCCTGCAAAGCATTTTCCAACTTCTATAGCCCTTAAAGTTGCAAACAGGAGAATTTATTTGTGGATGGAGAATGGCTCTATGGTAGTGTTTTTCTTCCTATCAGAAGTGTTGGAAGATCTTCAACATTTCCAGGTTGCTAGGCATTATTCCTAAGGCTCAATTTGGAAGGAGTACAAATACAAATATGTAGAGCGCAAAACCATATATTTTGTATGTATTTGCACTGTACATATTTACACTTGTACTCTTTCCAAACTGAGCCTAAGGACAATCAAAACTGTTTGACTTAACGTCTTACAGGATAATAACTAATAAGACTGTGAAACAAAAAGAATAAGGGTCCATTTGGTTCACAGTCGGAACCGGAATCGGAAGCGAATGGTCTATTCCCATAGTCTGTTTGGTTCAGAAGAACCGGAATGGGAATTGAAATCAGATGGAATGGAATTTCATTCCCAAGGGAGGAGGAGGGAATGGCCATTCCCTCAAATGGGGGAATGCCATTCCACCAGGACTGGGAATGGGATTCCGATTCTGCCCAACTAAACAGTTGGCCGATTCTGATTCCAGACCCCTATTCCCACAAACCAAACGGGCCCTAAGATCACTGTGTCATTCCTGTTGATAAACCTTGAACCCTCAAGATAGAAAAAAAGGAAAATGAAATAACACTAAAAGAGAAACCTGGAATTCATGCTATTTAATTGTTGATTTATAGAATCATGACTTCACTAATGACCTTAACCTATCTTAATGAATAAACATTTGCTTAATTCCAGTTCTGGCAATCAAACTAACCCCCAGTAAAACCAACATTTCCATTATGAACCCAAAAGCAGAAAACGAACCCAACTTAGTTGTGCTGCGATTTGGTACATTCCACATTTTTATCTTTTTACTTTTTGCAACATCAGATGAGGTTGGACCTATCAGAGCACTCAGCTCAGATCTTCCAAGTTAACCAGTGGAACTTCTGTTCAAATAAAAGAATATCAGCTCAAATCGGCACAAGGAACAGTGTAACATTCAAGCCACATGCCAAGAAGAACCAAGTGCAAATCTCATTATAATTTCTGCAGCTATGGAAGAATACAATCTGCATTTTTATCTCAAGGATACCATTACCTAAACCCTTTGTCCGTCATGATCTTAACGTCTTTCCTCTAATATAAATTTGTCAATTCATTTTTCTTGCTCAAATATAACTGCTTCTGGTCATTTATAAAAAAAACAAAAAAAATCATAAACATTTATTAACCAGTAAACACATAATGATCAGATATACTATGTCATTAAATAGACTTCTGGATAAGAGGATACATTTTGCAAGATTCAAACATGAAGAATCCAATTATGCTCAGTCTTACTCCTCTATAAACTTATAATCATCACTAAAAAAACACTGCCCTTCAAGCATCAATCATGTGAAAGAATGTCCAAGTTGAAACGAGCATTCAATCAATAAAACAATACAGAGAAAAAACCCACCTAGGTTCGAATTCCTTGACCTCAACCAGCTCCTTCCCTAAGAAATCCATCCACTGCACCCTCGCCTTTTCAACCTCTTTTGGTGCATCTGGCCCCGAAGAAGGCTTCTTGAGGTTACTTTTTGGGAAATTCTCAGCTTGTTGTTCTCCATCTAATCTCTCATCATTGAATTCAATCGACCCATTAAATGGCTGAACCACAGCATCAGGAACTGGAGATACAGGTGAAGGAACATGTGGGGAGTCGTCCAATTTTAATGGGGAAGGACAGAGGAGACGAGGAGGGGGCTTGCAGAAACAAATGAAAGAAGGGCAGTGGGACTTGCAGAACAAAACCCTCATCAAAATTTTCTCCAAGAAGGATTTATCACAAACAACCCATCTCATGCCCCGAACACCTCAATTAATAAAATAATGTAAAAAACCAACTCCTTGATTCAATAAAAAGCGACAAATTCCATTTCTTAAAACAAAATTTCCTCCAGGGAAAGCCCCACAGAATTACAAAACTAAAACACCTGATTAAGGTTAGTTGCAGCTAACAGTCATTAAAAGAAGTCAGAGCCTACTGCAAACAGGAAAAAAAATCCAATCTTACCACAAGATGGAAGAAGAAGACAGATCGTATATCTTAAAAAAGGATTATTCAAAACCCACTTTTTCTACTGGTTCCGATTGTGAAGACAGAGGAAATAAATTAAGAAGAGAGAGCGAAGGCCCTGCAGAAGAAAACCCAAAAAGAGAAAAGAAAGAAACCTGGGTCTTCAAGATCTCTTGTGACTGAATTCTAACTCCCATGTAAATTTGTCAAAATGAAAACCTGTTAAACATGGTCCAGATTTATCTTTTATGGAAGGCAATCTCTAGCTCCTAGAGAATGATTAACAGCTCATATGATATTTTCTCAAATGACCATCCTACCCTCCTATTTTCTCAACCATGCTTACTGTGAAGATGAAGATCAAACCAGAGGAAGACAAAACAAGAACTTCAAAATTCCACTGAGAAAAGAAATGGAGAAACAAAAAACAATCGATTAATATCATTTTCCTTGTTTTTTCCTTTCTCATTCCACTCTGAGAACGTAACCCATAAAAAGACTAATAACATTTAACAACTTCTCATGGTCATGGGCGATGAATCATCAGAACCAATGTTCTTAGAGGATGTTTGACTGACATGAATTTTTTGGTCACTGCATTTAAATAACTGTAACATCAATGTTGTAGCCTTTGTAGGGTAAAAAACTTTTATTGATAAACGCTGAAATGCTGAAGTGACTGAACTGAAAGACTTGTTACCTTGTTAAAATTATCAGAATTTGCAACAAAAATCTTTTATTTTTTGAAGAAAGTTGGAGTGGGAGATGATGCTGCTTTGCTGAGTAAAATATAAAAAGCAAAGGAACAAGAGAAAATAACAAACAGTTGAAAGGTGGCAAGTTCATTGCATGTTCATAACAGACCAGACCATATGATGGCACAGATAAAAACAGAATTTGTTATACAGATTTGATACAACTCAAATGTAAAATGGAATGGCTAATACCTTGTATAATCTGTATCTGTTAGTCTACTATATTTATCTCATGTTGAGTCCTTGATAATTTTGATGTCTTTGTGTTACTAATAGCCTCTTAAAAGGGTGATATCTCAACTCTCAAGTACTAAATCTCCTGTTACAAGAACTTCTGTAATCCTCAAGGAAGATTTGTGGTTGTGTTTTTAGAGTTACTAGGAATGCAGTGAGGACAGTGTGTATCTTCCACTGAAACTGGAGAATGCTGGAGAATTTTTACAATGAGTAAATCCAGGAGTAAGATTTGGTCTCTGTGGCTGCACTCTGGACCTGCTCCCTGGTGAGAATTATGGAAGCAGGTCAATAGAAGTTGATTTGGTGCCCAATCACCAGATATCTCTCAGCCACGTACCATTGCATTTACCTCCCTATCATGGAAAATGTAGAACACATATGAATATCTGTAATTGAATTATAACTTGCATAAACAACAAAAAGGAAAGGAAGAAGAAGACCCATCATCCCATGAAAGAGTTTGGAAAGGGTAACCTTCCTCCTGGTGTGGTATGTCGAACCTTGTCACAGGTACCGACACATGGCATATGGCCATATGGGATGTGGGAAAAAGTCAGGGATCCTAGATTTAGAGACTAATCTTGTAAACCTAAACTAAGAGACAATATGAAATATGAAACCAAACCAATGTTGTTGAAGAAGAAGCCAATAGAAAGCGAATAACATGGCCTGTCTGCTACCAAGAACTCAACCCAATTCAGCAAAGCCGTATGCCAACTTAATGTGAATATGTGATCAGATATATCTTCCTCTCCACTTCTGCTTCTATCCAGAGAGAGAGAGAGAGAGAATTGTGTGTGTATAAGGGAATGTTTGGGAATTATTTGCTTATAAGTGCTTATGTAGCAATAGGGATTTCCTATCCACAAACCCACAAGAATCCTACCCACTTATACTTACAGGACACTACATCTATACATTGAGAACATGGGTAGGTGTGGGTAGGAGATAAGATCCGAACACCTTATGTAGTGCTTATTAGACAATTACTTCCATTTGGTTTTCCAATGGTCTATTTCCATAATCTGTTTGGTTCAGATAAAAATGGGAATGAGAATGAGAATTGGAATCAATAGGAATGGGATCTCATTCTCAAGGGAAGGGGAGAGAATGGTCATTCCTTCAAATGGGGAATGCCATTCCACCAGGAATAGAAATGGAATTCCAATTCCATCCAATCAAATAGATGAATTCCGATTCCGATTCCAGACCCCTATTCCCACAAATCAAACAGGGCCTAATGTTCTTATTTTCAAAATAAGCACTTTTTTTATATTGAGTGTGTAATGAGCTGTTTATCTTATAAATGCTTATTCAATCAAACAGGGCCTCATGACTCCCGTAACATTAAACCATATGCTGAATGTTTACTTCAAATAAATTGAAAATGGAAAATCAAAGGAAGAAAAAACAAAAACAAAAAGAGAAAATCTAGGTAGATTGAACTTGATCGGTTGAAAAAAAAAAGGTTTCCCCCCATAGTTGTGTTTCATTGGGGGCAATACGGTAAAAGTTGGGGGACAGAGATGAAATGAAAAACGAAGGAAGAGCACTTCTCCAATAAAAGAATTCAATTTTTGGGCTTGAATTTTAAGCACTTATTTTTGAAATAAGTGATTTTTTCATTTGACCTGACTGCCCTTTTTTCTGTTTTTTTTTTGTTGCTTTTTTCTGACTTATTCCCACACGCAATTAAGCACTTATTTTGGGCTTTTTGTGTGACCCCACCACTTAAAAAATAATCACATATTCTAATATTAGCACTTAAAAGAAGTTCATTTTTTTTATTTGAATTTTAAACAATTATTTTTGAATTAAGCGCTTTTTTGTACAATCCCACCCTTAAAATAAGTGCTTCCAAACTGGGACTAAGGCTGCATTTGGCATTCTATATTTTAAGATTTATCTCCTTTTTGTAATTAAAAGGGCATTTTTACAGCAAAAAAGTGACATTTGTGTGGAATGCCAAATGCAACCTAAATCCAGATAGGGGGCATGGAATCCCATGTGCCAAAAACAGATTCAAATGAAACTTACGTGGATCAGGAGCTTCTAATGTGTGAATAAATCAGATTCTCTACGACATTGACAATTTGGATGGAATTTCTTTCCACCCAAGTGCTAAATAAGTAATGACACATTTGACATGAAAATTAGGCCATTTGTGTGGATTGTTTGGTCAGACATAGCTTCCAAAAACTCTCACATGGATAGACAGTTGGACATACAAAGTATTTTGCCTTCGATTACATAATAAGATATTTGGGTATAGTAATCAACCTAACTTCAGCTTCCTAACAATTTCCTAATCATTTTCAAGGTTCATATGTATTGGCCCGTATCAGGAGCATTTTTATATACCCCTACAGAGGGTGTATCGGGGTTTGACCGGTTCATGGGATGGAGGAACCTTAAACTGCCCCTAAACCGGATTTGAAAAAAAATAAAAAAATAAGTACCGACATCTCCCTAAAAATCTTTGAGCCCGGTTTTCTATTTGATTTGGGCAGTGAAATTAGGGATATCCACATTTTTGTAAAGAAATGAATATGTTTATTTTGAGAAAGACTTAAATATAATAGGTTTGTAAAGAAATGACTTTGTTTCCCCACTCTCTGTTAAGATCACAATGCGCATATATTCTTGTAATAGGTGAAGTGGCTATGGCCTGAATCGTTTAAGGAGGTTGTGAGCTCCTTGATGGCTGAAAACTGAAGTTGACTAACTATTAAAAACTAAAAGAGAAAGTAGTAAATGATTCAGTTCAACCACTTCAGCCCTAAGCTGAGGTTGAGTCATGCCCAAATTTGTCAAACTTTTCTAAGCCAAAATTTTCTCACTCACTGGATAGGATAGGACCACCTTATGTAAATAAAATCAGAGGAAAGATGCAACTTCGCTAAAGGATAGGCCAAACTAAACCAATTAAGTTCGCAAACCACATTTACTACGGTTAATGGTGTCAATGGATTGGTTTTGGATTGGACCCCGCCCAGCCTAAAATCAATTTGAATGGATTGGATGGAACAGTAAGACTTATTGGATTGGGTCAATCTGATCCAAAATATTTATTAGATTGGATTGGACCTGGTCCATCCGTAACAAATTTATATTAGATTGGGTTGGATTAAGTCAATATCTGATTCATTGATATAAGATAAGAGTATATGTGCCAATGAACCAAATTTGTGTTGAAACCAATCTAAATCAAGACGAATTTAAATAAATTGAACGATCCAAACATTGAATTAGATCAAATCAAATTAGTACAAAGCATTCATTGGATTGAATTGAACCTGATCCATTTATAATGGACTCACATCGGACTGAATTGGATTGGATCAAAACTAATCCAATTGACACCCCTAACTACGGCAGTGTTGTAAGGATGCGCTGAAACAACAAAATCAAAACCTTCGATTGATTTAGAGATGTGGCCCTACCTGGAATTAAATAAACTGACATATTGGTGGGGGCCACAACAATAAATCAAAGGTCTTAATTTTTTGTTTTAGCCCTGCACTATGACACTGTCGTAGCAAAAGTGAACTCAATTTGAGGTTAGGACCAGCTTGTAAGGTTCAAAAGTAATATCATTCCTTAATTAATCTTAGCTGGTGCTAATCTCATCGTGATATATTAGTGCCTTAAGTAGCTTTGGAGTTGGGTTTATAGTCATCTTACATGTGTCTTCTCCTGTGTGGCAGACCAGGGCATGGTTTTTAAAATTGAACCGGTCAGGCGTTTGGTTACTGGTTCAAATGGTTGGCTTATTCTGATAAAAAGATAAAAAAAAAAATTAAAAAACAGTCAAAACCGATTAACTGGCCAATTCAGCAATTTGCTGACCAAAATTAATGATTTTGGGGGAAAATAGAACCGGTCAGATGACCGGTTTCCGGTTTTCCAGTCTGACCGTCCGGTCTGATCTGGTTTTAAAAACCATAGACCAGGGTTCTTTGATAAATGAATTTAGCCTTAGTAAAAAGTTTGGATCAGCATCGTGATGGGCCAGAATTTTTGATAATTGTTCTACCATTATTTTCACTTTAATATTATATATGGTTATTAAGACATTAAATTCATAAGAGTAGATGGTCAAGATCATATTATTATCAACAGAAAATGGTTTATCCCTATTAGATTTGTTTTTTATGTGTGTGATGATGATGATGATGAGTTTGTTAGCCTATTTTTGAAGTTTCATAAAGAGAAATTATGTTTATCCCTTTGGGTTGAAGTAGAAGTAAATGCCTACTAGAAATGAATGGCCCCAATAAGCTTTTATTTTATTCTCCAAAGGAAGAGTGGGAATTTGAGTGGAGGCATTGCATAATTTTCTTCTTTTTAGGTGTGCTTTGTCTGGTTTTATTAACCTTTATCTTAGCAAAGTTGTCCAGTTCACCATTAGATATATAGGCTTAATATTTTCGTTTGTATTTTTATTCATAAATGATATTTTTTCTCTTGATTTATTTATAATGCTTGTTTTTCATTGTTGTAGGCTTTTGTGTTCTTATAATATTTTTGGGTATGACTTCATTGAAAACCTAATCCATAGGGTTTTGAATGTTTTTTTCTTAAGG